AATTCTCTCTTTTGTTGGATTTTACTGCTGAAATAAATAAAGCACACAAATATCATTTCAAAAATTATTTTGTAGTATCTAATAAAAAATCCTTTTACATTAGTTTGGTTTGTTTTTAAGGACTTCTTACAAGAAATATACCAAAGTAGCAAATATTTATTTTACTCGCAGATTCTCTAATTATAAATAAACATGAAAATAATATTAGGAACATAAACTCTCTAAAAATATTTGAACACATAAAATAAATTAGAGTGCTTTTAAGATTTTTGTGGAGTTTTATGGTTACACTGTATATTCTATGGATTTTTTTAATTTTATTTTTTAAGAGTATCATAAAAGATCAATAAATCTAAACAACATGGTTTTATCATTTTAAAAAACCTAAAAGACAAACGAAGCTTGTAAAACTCCACACAACATCAACACTATGCCAAATACCTAATGCACTTGGCACCTAATACCACATAAATGGGAATTACTATTGTTACAGATGTTAGCATTGTTCTTCAAAGATCATGAGGTAAATCCAAGAAAGGTGGTTTTCTGTGTGTCTTTCTAGTTTTTTTTTTTCTGGATGAACTCTAAAATTCAAATTAGGACAATTTTATGTACTATGGAATGCATACTACATGCTTAAACACTTTTTTTTGTCTTATTACAGAGCAGAAATGGCCCCCATTCTGCTTATTAAAATGAGTGTATAATGTGCACTTGAAATAGAATTGTACACCAACAGTATTAAAGACAACCAAATAATCCAAAGATGCAAAGGTATAAATAATGTGAAGACAGTGCTATTCCAGAGGAATACATCAAGAACACAAATGACATCAGGATCTCATATGTACGCGTCAGCTTATCACTTCCCTGGAAGTATTCGTTTCTAAAGGACATGTCTCCAACTCACTTGCATGTGATAAGCACAGTGTGATTTATGGAGGACATTCAGATTCAGTATTACCAAGAGTAGGTTGCTATGGCCTCTTCTGTTCCTTTTTAGAATAAGGGAAAGCACATGGAAATTCCCAGAGCAACTGACAACTTGGTGTCTGGGGATGGCTTAGCCAGGTTCCTAGGGCAACAGTGGAGCTGTCAGCCTGTGCTAGTAAAAACAGCACACAGTAATTATGAAAAAAGATTGAAACTGACAAGCCTGTCCTGGGTGAAGGAGGCTTCCTGGCAGCACGACATGGCATGGGCACGTGCAGAAGTGGGCCCCTGTGCACCTGCGCCATGCCACTGTAGGTGGGTGTCATGGTCTGAAGGACTAGCAGCGTGAAACTGTCTCTTAGGGAGGGCATCACCCAAGCTGGGAGCATAGATGGGCACCCAAACACCCGAAAGGATGCACTGGCCACTCCAAGATTTGGGCGAGCTGGGTTTGGCCTTTCTCCCTCTAACTCACCCCCACTGCCACATCTTGACTTCCAGGTCATTCCTGCAACCTCACCCTCCACCACCGCCTGAGCTCTGCATTGTGGCAAAGTGAAAAGTATCTGCTCTAGGGTGCTGTTTCAAAGAATCTGAACTCAGCAGCTGAGTTAAAGAACCTATTCAACCCAAAAGCCAAAACATGTCCACTTCAGTAAGGTCTGTGGCTAAGGAGTGAGAAGAGAGGTTAAATTTCCACCTCCCCTAAGCCAGCACTGCATGTGCTGCGGATGGAAACCAGGGCCTCTTCCCTGAGGGGGAAGGACTCTTACCACTGAGCTACACCCCAGGAAGGGAGCTTTTCTTATCTGCTGGAAATTTTCACTCTTTCCCCCTAAACATTTTTTTTAAATAACTCTACTGCACCAAATTTGCATACCATGAAATTCACCACTAGTGTACAATTCAGTAGTGTTTAGTATATCCAGAATTGTGAAACACCCATCACTAATTTTAGGGTGTTCTCATCAATCCAAAAATACTGAGTTCCATTACCAGTCACCTCTCATGTACTCCTTCCCCCTGGCAATAACTTTACCGTCTACAGTGGATCCTTGACTCACAATGGCTGGTCATAACTCAAGTTGGTCTACACAGACTTCAAAGTTTCTCTCCTGTATAATTTTAGGCCACACTTTCTTCCAGACAGATCTCAGTGTCCTTATAGAGACACTGGTCTAGGATTTCTTAATTAGCCCCACACAGGAGAGGATGTTTTAATTTTCCTTCCAGAACTCTTTAAGGGTTAAATTTGTACCTGAGACCATCTGGAAGCACAAGTGGCCAGCATTTGGTTCATAATTAAAAACTTTGGTCATAAGTTAAAACTAAAATTCCAGTCATAACCCAGGTTGTTTGTGCGTAAATCATAACTCAAAGGATTCACTGGGTATTTCTATGAATTTGCCTATTCTGGACATTTCTTAAGAACAGACTCATACAATATGTGTGCTTTGTGACTGGCTTCTGCTACACAGCATGATGTTGGTACGGTCATCCATGTTGGTCATCCATGCTTCTGTATACATTCATCAGGTGATGGACAACTGAGCTGTTTCCACTCTTTTGAGTATTATGAATAATTCTGCTGTGAACATTTGAGTACAAGTTTTTGTATGAAGATATGCTCTCAGTTCTCATACATACATACTGGGAGTGGAATTGCTGCCTTATGTGGTAATCTCTGTGAAATATTTTGAGGAACTGCCAAACTGGTTTTCAGAGTGGCTGCATCATTTTACAACCTCATCAGCAATGTATTTGAGGACTCAGGTTTCTCTCCATCTTTAATGTTTTGTCTAATTTTTCCAGCTTTACTGAAGTTTAATTAACAAATAAAAATTGTATGTATGGAATGTACACAAATTGATATTTTGATATTTGCATGCATTGTGATCACTATCACCAAGTTAATTCACAAATCTACCCATCACTTTATGTAGTTAACATTTTATTTCATAGTGAGAATGTACCCTCCTAGCAAATCTTAAGTATACAATGCACTGTTTGTTAACTATATGGAGACATACATTAGATCTCCAGAACTCATTCATCTTGCATAACTGGAACTTTGTATCTTTTAATTAACATCCCTCCATGTCAAAGCCACCTCCTTTGCTCCTACCCCTGGCAACCACCATTCTACCCTCTGCTTCTTTGACTCATATTACTCTCCCTTGGTAATGGCTTGTAACCTTTTTTTATATGTTGCTGGATTTTGTTTGCTGATAATTTTGTTGATAATATTTATGTCTGTGTTCATAAGAGATATTACCTGTGTCTATGTTCATAAGAGATATTGGTCTGTAGTTTGCTGGTGATTTTTTTGTCTGATTTTGGTATCAAAGAAACATCATGAGGAAAGTGTTTTCCCCTTCTGCTCTTTGGAATACTATGTGAAGGAATGGTGCTGACTCTACTATTACCATGTAACAGAATTCACCAATGAAGCCATCAGGCCTGGGCTTTTCTTTGAGGATAGGCTTTTTTTTTATTACTGATTAAGTCTCTTTGTTATAAGTTTGCTCCAATTTTCTATTTCTGCTTGAGTCATTTTCATGACTTTTTAGGTGCTTGTGCATTTCATTTAAGGTAACTGTTGATATACAATTATCTGAAATATTCCCTTGTAATCTTTTTGCTTTTGTAAAGTTAGTAGTATTGTCAATACTTTCACTTCCAATTTAATTTGTCTTTATTGATTAATCTAGATAAAAAAGTTGCCAATTTTTATTTTTCCATTTCTTTTAGTTGTCTGTTCTTTATTGTCTATCTCATTCATTTTTGCTGTAACGTTTATTATTTCCTTCATTCTCTTTGCAATAGCTGATGCCCTCCTTTTTCTAAATTCTTAAGGTGAATTTTGGTTATTGATTCAAGGTCATTCTTTTAAAATCAGGTGTTTATAGTTATAAATTTCCCTCTAAACATTTCTTTATCTGCATCCCACAGTTTTGGTATGTTACATTTTTGTTTTCATTTAACTTATTTCCCTCTTTCCCTTGCAGTTTCTTCCTGAAGTGTCCTACTTAATAATTTCCCAAAATCAGTTTGCAATAGCAGTCTTTTCTTATCAGAAAACACATTTTATTATGCTTATTTTTATTATCTTACATGTATTGAGACTTGTTTTATAACCTTATTTACAGTCTATTCCAGAGAATGTTTATGTCCTTGATAAATGTTTATCTTCTACTGTTGTTAGAGTACCACATGAGTTTTTTTTTCCCTAGTTAAATTTATAGTATTGTTCAAGTCTTCTACTTCCTTATTGATCATCTATCTAGTTATTCTACTAATCACTAAAAGTGGGGTATTGAAGTCTACAACTGTTATTGCTGAATTGCCTTCTTTTTCCTTAAATTCTGTCAACTTTTGCTTTATATATTTTAGGAGTCTGTTTCTAGATGCACATATGTTGATGAATGCTATAAATTCCAGACTAATTGTCCTTTTATCATTACAAAACACTATTCCTTGTCTCTGTTAATTTTGATCTTTAAATCTACTTTGTGGGGTATTGCCATAAACACTTCTTTTTTGGTTACTATCTGCATAGAATATCATTTTCCTTTCTTAACTTTCAGTATAGTTGTACCTTTGAATCTAACTTGTCACTTATACATAACATATAGTTAAATCATATATTTTCTTTGTTCCATCAATTCTGCCTTTTGATTGAAGTATCCAATACACTGATATTTAATGATCTATATAATATCTACCATTCTCCATTTCCTATACGCCACATTTTTTGTGTACATTTATTCCACCATTACTGACTCCTTATGTGTCAAATACATATTTGCTTGTGTAACATTTTCAGTCATTTGATGTTTCTTTTTTTGTATTTTAAAAGTTATTTTCTTGGTGGTTACCCTGGGGATTACAATTAACATCTTCACTTGTACCTATGGATTTTGTTTTGTTTGAAGTTTCCTCTTGGAATTTAAAAAGAATCTCAAAATTAGAGTCAAAAGAATAAAAAAGAGCTCTTCATAAATTCTGTGTAAGTACACATCTCAAGGTTATTATAATAAGCACCTGCCTCTGGTATAAACACTTACCTTTTCTAATAATACATTCTGCCACAATCTAAATATACTGAGGTAACTTCTATCCCTGGCACCAAAAGATGTAAAGAAAAACTGCAAAAAAAAAAATAGAACAATTTTAGTGTCACAGAAAATAAGGAGCAAGTACCTGTCATGAAAGTCTGTGGATGCTTGCTACAGTCAAACTAGTCATCACTACCTACCTTACATCTTCATATACTATTTTTTATTTGTTTTGTTATAATGGAAAAAACAGTTGTTGTATAAACAAAGTGTCTTTACAAATTGCGACTTGCAACAAATAGCATTTTAAGCAAACACAGTTTTGTTAGCATTTTCGAGGGGGAAAGATTTGACTAAGCAGCTATTTATGTTATCATAGTTTACAACTATTAAAGTCAAGCTAAATAATAAAATTTTATTTTACCCTGAATTTTGCAAAATGAACTGCTTGCCTATAAGCCAAGTATATGCAAAGAATAAGCACAAATAATAGTATATTTCAGAGGTACATTTAATAATATTACTTTTAATTTTATCATCTTTCATAGTCAAAAATTGCAAAAATACTACATCTCTGATAACTATAGATACAATACACTCATGTTAACTCTGCACTTTTCTTCAAAATGTTATATGAGGAAAGTAGCATGTTTCAATCTATAATTCTGTTTGCTTTCAGCCCTATACATTTCTCTACATTTAACTGATTTTTGCAAAATCATATATATATATGGGGGGGTACCAGGGATTGAACTCGCATCCTTGAACTTGCAAACCAGACACCAGAACCACTGAGCTAAATCCCTGGCCCTCAAAATCATATTTTAAAATGAACATACATGAGACAGCCCTAAAAACAACCTCTCAGTGTCCAATCCCTTTCAGTCATCTATTTAGTGACCTTTATGACTACGTGGTTATCTTTAGAAAGGAGAAAGCTTAGTTCTATTCTGCAGCTAATAAGTAAAATTTCAAACAATGTTTTGAGTATTAATGCATTCAATAAAAAAGTTTTAAAGTTCTATTTTCCAGTTTATTGAATTTAAGTCTTGTTGTATATTCCTCATAAAGCAAAAATTTTTATAAAGAGGATATATCCAAGTGCTCTTTCAAATAGTATTAGAAACATAAAATGACCCAATCATTACTACTTGGTACTATGCCCTATTCCCTTTTCTTAAGCCAAATTGTTTGGTCTAGTTATAATAATTTTAGAGGTAGGTGTTTAGATGTATAAATCAGAAAAACTTCATCTCATTTCAACCAGTATTTTATGCTTGCTAATCTCTACTTCTTGAGCTAAATATTGTTATTAACTTTATCCATTTTTATACAATTACCACATTCTCAGCACCTTACTACAACATCCAACTTTCTGGATGATTACAGAAATTATGACTTTCCTTTATTCCTTGCTGGATATTCAACTTACAAAATGTATTAATAAATCTTGTTTAGTAATAAGCTCCTTAATTTGAGAACAGTTCTAAGTAATGATACATCAAGTTGATGGGGCGCAAAACATTTTCTAAAACCTAACACAAATAAAAGAACTATGATTAGCCTTTCTATAAACACAGAGTACATAAAAAGGATGAAAATTTAATACTATGGTTTCTCTCCATGATGTTGAAAAAAGACTTACTGAGTTAACACAGGGTGGAAATTCAGACTACAGCCTGTGTAAACTTCCTGCATTTGTCATCTGACTCTAACACTTACATATCTTGTAACTCTGCCACTTTTATATAGTTTCCTCAGTTGCAAAATGAGAATATAGTAGCAGATTTTTGTGAGAATTAAATGGCAAAATATATGCAGAGAGTTTCAAACAGCTCCTTGAAGATCATACTCAGTAAAAGCTAGTGCCTGCTATTGTTATGGTCAAAATTAAAATGCTTCACCCAGAAATTCCATTACATATATTAGAAACAATCACAGATGAATTTAAAAGGCATAGGGGCTGAGGATTTAGCTCAGTGGTTCTGCTGCCTGCCATGCAAGTGCGAAGACTCGAGTTCAATCCCTGGTAACAAAAATATATAAATAAATAAAATAAAAAATTAAAGGCATAGTCAGGGCTGGGGATTTAGCTCAGTGGCACAGTGCCTGCTTTGCAAGCACGAGGTACTGAGTTCGATCCCCAGTACAAAAAATAAAAATAAAAAAATAAACAAATGAAAGACATGGTCAGGCTGTTCACTGCAGCATCATTTATAGCAACAAAATATTAAAAGTGAACTAGTAGTCATGTACAACCATTCAAAGAAATACTATACACAGCACTTTCAAAAGCAAAGATGGATATATCTACACGTGCCCATTTGTAACTCCAAGAGATAATGAGGTTTTTAGAAAAGGCAGTCTGAAGAAAACATGAATAAGATAGCATTTGCTTAAAAAAAAAAAACACACACACACAAATACACATATATATATATATATATATATATATATATTCTTTAGAATAAAATCCTGTTAGAAAAGATATTCCTGTCAGTGCTAGGCTTCCAATAATTGAACATGATGAAGTAAAAGGCATAGATTTAAATAATCCTCCTATTTTTCGAATGTCTTGCTCATCGTTAAGGTTATGAATAATTGATCCTGAGCATATGAATAATATGGCTTTAAAAAAAGCGTGTATGCAGATATGAAGAAACGCTAGGTACGGTTGGTTAATCCCAATAGTTACTATTATTAGACCCAATTGGCTTGAAGTAGAAAATGCAATAATTTTCTTAATATTGTTTTGTGTTAAAGCACATATAGCTGTAAATAGTGTTGTAATAGCTCCTAAGCATAGTATTTTAGTTCTTCCTCTTCCCTTACTGAACAGTTCACCCCTAAAGGTTTTGGCAAAAGAAAATTAGGCATCCACATTAGAGACAAGGGTGGGGGCAGAGGAGCTACAGTAATCCATAGCAGTGTGTCAGAACCAGAAAATAAGAAGAGTGTCCACACAGAAAGGTCACCTTGCATAGTGTCAGAGTTCAATGAAGAGCTTCCACATACGATGGTGGCCTGGAACAGAGTAGTAAAACAAGAATAGAGCAAGAAAAGTATGAAGAACAGGCACAAGTTGGAGCCACAGGAGGGTTACCATGTAAAGGACACCAAAGGCTAAACATGGGGAACATGGTTATGAACAGTGCAGCACACAAAGGCATCTCAGAGCCAGAGGAGGTAAGGAGAGTGTAGTGGAACAGAGTCCTTGACGGTGGTGTTGTGTTGAGGTGTCAGATCTGAGCAGAATGAGTACAGCAGCCACATACTGACACGGTGACTGACCAGAACAGAAAGAACACACCAGGGAATGGATTAAAACTCATTAAATAAAACAAGAAAACATGAGTTAACAGTGGTATAAGTAAATAAATGAATATATTTAAAGGTTGGTGAGAGTGGTATATTTACATGGTTTCAAAGTATCTTGTCAAAAATATTATAATTGAAAAGGAAAATAACTGTATAGCAAAGTCTTTATTGGGAATATGAGGTGAGATCACAATATATGGTAAAGGTTTAAATAAAAGATGTATTACAGTAAAAGACACACTGGCATTAATCTGCCTTGAAACATGCCCCCTCTCTTAGAACACGCTCATCCCATCATTCTTGCCACTTCCTGAAGCAGCTCTAGAAGTCCTCTTTTGTGAGTGTCTTCACTTTTACTATCGTGGCTGCCTCAATAGCCTGAATCAATTCAAAATATTTACTTTTCATTGTCATTTTTATTCTGGGGAAGAAGCAAAAGTTATACAGTGTCATATGTGATAATTAAGATGGATGAGGGCATACTGTAATGTTTCCATTGATAGAAATTGCTGTAAATATTTGATCAATGTAGTATGATCAACAATTATGATGAATGTTTAAATGTAAAAGATTATTACAGTGAAAGACATTGATATTAATCTCCCTCAAAAATACTCAAAATATTCCTCCTCACTTCACTTGATCTTAACCAAAAGACCAAAAAGTGATTCTCCTTGCTTCACACACGCTTATCTCATCGTTCTTGGTAATGTCTTTTACTGTAAGAAGGGTTTTTACATTTTAAATATTCACCATATATCTTAATCACCTCTTGCACATGATGAAGCATCATGGTGATGACTTACTCTGAAATAGCTCGAGGAAAAAGGTCAGTACTAAGTAAGTACTGAATTCTGAAGTACTCATTGTGAAGACTGAGAATATTTAAAAATAAAAATAAGGGAAGTCAGACACAACGGTACATGCCTGTAATCCCAGCTACTCAGGAGGTGGAGGCAAGCGGACTGCAAGTTCAAGACCTTACAGAAACCTTGTCTTTTAAAAAAAATTAAAAGGCTAGGGACATAGGTCAGCTCTCCCTGAGTACAATCCTCAATACCACAAAGACAAAATAAATTAAATAAAAATATGGGGACAGGAAATATATCTCAGTGGTAATTACCTAACATGCACGAGACCCTGGATTTGATCCCCAACACCAAATAAATAGATGTTACTTAAAGTGCATTTGAAAGAAACTTTACAAGACTAAAAAGTATAATTACACAGAGTTAATGCCACACTTTCTTTCTTTCCCCACACTTTCATTTTCTTTTTTTCCTTCCTTTCTACCCTTCCTTCTTTTTCATACTTTCCTTTCTTACTTGTTTTTCTTTCCTAGTCTTATAATCCTAATGTCACATACAGAGCCTTAATCAATTTTTCAGGTCGTATAGAAATATCATTTATATATCCCCACCAAGAAATGGCAATTATCATAGGTGAATAATAAAAGTAAAGGCATTTAGGGCCAGGGATTTAGCTCAGTGGTGCTGCCACCTGGCTCCCAAGTGCAAGGTCCTGAGTTTGATCCCTGGTACCAAAAAAAAAAAAAAAAAAAAAAAAATTAAAGGTAGTTAAAAATAATTACCAGTGCAGAAAAGTATTATAACAATCATGTATTTACTTTTATGCTACCTAAGTCTCTGAACACAAGAACAATTTGTTTTTACCTTTTGCTATCATGCAGATATTATTGATTAACAATAATCATAACATAATTGGGGTATTTAAAATAATAGGGAAATCTTGCTAATGCTTACCCTACCTCCTTCTTAGAATGAAGAAATAGGTAATAAGGGTGAAAGTTCTTGTAAACCATAAGTACAAAAAAAAAATGTCAGCAATACATAGAGTTAATCGCCAATATTTAAGAATATGGAGATCAAGTATTATAGTGCAGCTCACAAGATATTACTAACTCTAAGAACTGCCTATGTTCCCAACATTAATGATCAGTATGAGGCAGATTTTCTTCACATTATATAATATGGCAAAGGCAGAAAAATATTTTTACCTTTTCACCTTCTGTAACAATCTGGATAGCATTTGGGATGAGACGAGCAGTCTTCTCCTTGGTCATGAAGGTTATATTCTTCAAAGCAATAGAAATCTAAACATACAAAAGAATAAAAACTGAAAAGTGTATATTTTTTTTGGTACTGGGGATTAAACTCGGGACCTTGTGTTTGTGAAGCAGGAGGCAGAACCACTGAGCTAACTCCCCAGCCTGAAAAGTGTATTTTTAAGAAACATACAACACAAAACACACAGTATTATATCAATCTAATCCAGAAAAACCTAAAGGAATCCATATGCACATGCTTGTATTCTCTATTAAAAATAAGGTAACAATTAACCACTCTTCCTCTTATGTTCACACCCCTCAACTCCTGTAACTAACATTAAGACAAAAGTGTGAAAATATAGGGTGTTCATGTTCCATGTCGTTAACACAAAACACACAGGCAAAGTTCAGACAATCTTTCCCATAAGACATGGTTTTGGCTGCTTTTTATAACTTGAAATCTTTCTCTAATTATACAATTAATAAATATAAATAAGCTCAATACACTGCCAGAAAAATATATTTATACAAACAACACATAAATATACTTACACATATATAAGTACAGATGCACAAATATAGATTAATTTACTTTGAAATCATCTAATACACTTTCCTTTTAAAAGGACTATGTATATTTCTATCTATACAATTATGTGTATCAACAAATTAAATGCAAAAATATGTCTTACTGTAGTTTCCCATCTGAAGATGTTGCTATAGAAACACAGCCAATTTTCTGAAAGGTACAGTCGTCCTTGAACCAAAATGTCTCTCTGGAGAGCACAAGCATAATCTATGCACACAAAAATAAAGAGTAGTTTATTCACAAAAATCTGACAACAGAAGAAACATTATACTATTTCAACACATAGTCAATACTGTTTATTCATCAGTTTATTCATTCATCCATTGATATAATGGACATCACACGTTAGATATTTTGTTGTGCACTACAGTCACCAAAAATACCCTCATGGAACAGTACAGAGGGAAGGCAGACAAAGCTATGAAAATATATAAAAAGAGCTATGCAGGAATGGGGTGTGGACAGAGGCTATCAGGAAAGAGTCCCCTGAAAAAGCAATCTTTAAAATTTAAAGGAGGGGGTGAAGGGAGGGCAGGGACAAGGGGAAAAAATGAAAACCAAGACCTGTCATGTAAAGGTACAAGATCCCAGTAATGAATGTAGCTGTACTGTATACCTAGAATGTACCAATAAACTCAATAAAAAGAAAAAAAATTTAAAGATCAATAAAGGGTCAGCAGCATCACGTGGGAAGAGCACATGCAAAAGCCCTGTGGTAGAAGAAAAAAAAAAAAAAACAGAACTTTTGAGGCACTAAAACCAGCTAGATCTCCGGGCTAGAAAACCTAGAGAAGCTAGATAATATAAAATTTCACAGGCTATGGTAGAATGGACTGTATGAGAAACCACTGATGAGCGTTAAGTGGGAGAGACATGACCCATTGTATGTGATTAAACACCACTTCGTTCACATTGTGAAAATGGATTCTGATAAGTGTACGGGAAGTCTAAGGAAAGCTGATGATGGCTCAGACCTTAAGTAAACAATATTGAGGGAAAGAAGTAATTAGATTCAGAGACAGTATTGAGGAAGGAGAGCTGGTGATTAATGAGATATTGGAGAAAGATAAGAGAGTTGTTAAAAATGACTGTATACGCTTTAAGTTGGTTTCAAAGTTGATCCTTTCTGCCTCAGTAGTAAAACCCAGCAAGACCAAGTCTTCCGTTTAAAAAAGAAAACAACGGGCTGGGGATTTAGCTCAGTGGCACTGCACCTGCCTTGAAAGCACAAGGTCCTGAGTTCAGTCCCTGGTACCATAAATAAATAATTTTAAAATGAAAAAAGGAAATGTCTCCTGGTATGTCAGTGACTACCACACCAGTCGATACCAAGTCTCTAATATCTGGCTGTGTGGCAAATATGAATAGTAGTGCTAAATGACTGATAACACAAGATTCAAAAGGTTACTGTGAAGAGATTTAGTTGGCTGTTGAATTTTAAAATTCTATCAGATAATTAGCAATTTTAGAAAAAAAGTTACATAAATCTCAAATATTTACACTGATGTAAATCTCTAAACAAATACTGTACCGAAAGTTCAGCAGTGTCAGTCTTTCACAACACTTCCTTCAAAGAAGCAAAACTGAGATGCCAGTGAACAAAAATTCCTACTAAATAAGTAAGCAGATTAAGTTACTTATTTAGCAGTATGCATCCCAAAATAGAAACTAGGTCAAAGGTCACCCTGAGGTGTCATAAAATGTTTATTTAAATCAGTTGATAACATTTTATCACATCAGTGTTTCACTGACTTCACAAATACTGGAAGGCATATAAAAATACACTACTAGGCTTCTCTTTCATAGTTTCTAATCAAATAGGTCTAGGGCAACAAGGTCAAGAATGCACTCCTACCCAGGCGTGGTGGCACATACCTGTAATCCCAGCAGTTTGGTAGCAGAGGCAGGAGGATTGCTAGGAGTTTGAGGCCTGCCTGGGCTACAAAATGAGTTCAAGACCAGCCTGAACTACACAAGTCCCTATCTCAAACAAATCAACAGAACAAAAAGAGAAAAGAATGCATGTCAGACCTCTTGGTGGTGCCAGCATTGCTAGTCTGTAGACCACAAGGCATTATTTTATATTAATTATATTAAAAGCTATTGTAACCACCAAGATTTTTTTTATCTGAAGATTATTTGACATATTTTGACAACTTTTTTCAATGTTTTTAAAAAATTGCTTCCCTAAAATGGGTGTGTTTTATCAAAATGAATATATACTTCAATAAAACTTGATTTTTAAAAAAAAATGGTGAAGGCAATGTATTCTGTGCAAGAAATAGAACATTTCGTTTAAAAAGAGGGGTTACTTTTTTTTTCTTTTGCTTCCAATTTCCCTACTGATAAATGAGTATATACCACAATAATGTCAGTACTTCAGTAGGCAATAGTCTATCTGACCTGAGTCATTTTAACAATCTGACTCACCAAGAATAAAATAAGAAAATAATGATGTTTACCAAATACCGTTTTATGATTTTATAACTTTGTAACAGGTTATTAGCAAGATATGTTAAAATTCAAGAAATCAACCAATTTAGGTCCACTCTGACTCATATATTAACATCAACTTACTAGCTATTACGTGATTGACTTTTGTGCAATTGAATTGCCCCAACTCCTTTTGATTACCAATTACAATACCACAAATGATATAGAATATGGCACTATGGGAATATGGGCAGAGTGAATCAGTACTATGTACTTATACATCAACCTTGCACAATAAAGAGTATATATATTTAAATATATACATAAATAAACAAGATGCGATGCTCTGTTTTACTAAAGAACTTAGGCATACTATCCATTAAGGAGGTGACAAAAGAACATGTTTTTAAGCAATAATGTCAGGAAATCAATATCCCAAAGCATTGTATTCTAACAGCTATTATCTTTGACAGCCCATAATGCTGACATTGCTTAAAAAAAATTCTTTGGAAGAACAATTTTAGAATTGCTTTCAGAGTTAGTATTTTTTAAACGTTACTGGTACATTTTAGATATAATAACAACATTCATCATAAGGAATTTGTTCATGCACATGATGCATCTTGCTTCTTTCCTTTTTCTCTGATTCTCTGCCTCAATCTCTCTTCTCCTCATTTACCAAAGCTTTGTTTCCATTTTTTCCTAGTCTTTGTTGTTCCTTTTCTCCTTTGCCCATCCCCCTTCCTTGTTCCCCTTGATATTTGAACATTTTCTTATTATTTCCCAATATCTATTACATATTTTGGTCTTTATACTTTTGGTTTCTCACACCATAGAAACAACGTGGTATTTAAATATGTGTGTCTGATTTGTTTCAATTAAGAGTATAGTCTCAAGGTGCATCCCTTTAGCTAGAAACGTCTCAAGCTTATCCTTTTTTTCCCCCAACAGCAGCTATTCGGTTTTTATTGAACATGTTACAAAATGAAGTTTAATCAAAAGGACCAAAGCTCATGTCATTGTCAGACTCCTCAGATTCTTCTTTCTTTGCTTCCACCTTCTGCTCAGCTGGGCAGCAGCGGGTGGAGGAAGCAAGGCCTCCTGCGGGTCCAACACCAGCTGCAGGAGCAGGGCCACCAGCCCCTACATTGCAGATGAGGCTCCCAATTTTGACATTGGCCAGAGCCTTTCAAATAAGCCAGGCCAAAAAGGTTTGGCAATGACACTTGCCCCTTTAATGAGGACATTGATCTTATCCTCCTGAACAAGAAAAGGACAGAGTAGATGCAGGTGAGCTCAGAGAAGGCAGCCATGGTGCGGGCTACTGGGCATGGGCATGATGTTCGTAGAGGGATGAAGTGAAGGCCTCACCTTAACACAGCCTTACTCCCTTGGAAGAATTGAGCACCTAGGTAGCAGCTAAGAAAAGGGACTCAAGCTTATCCTCGTTATGGCAGAGTAGTACTCCATTGTATATATAAAACAAACACATCCTCTTTACCCATTCATCAGTTGATGGGCATATAGGCTGTTTCCAAGATTTAGCTATTATAAATTGTGCCACTATAAACATGAGTGTGCACACATCGCTGTGGTATGATGTTTTTATTTATTTTAGGAAGATGCCAAGAAGGGGAATAGCTAGGTCAAATGGAACCTCTGGTTTTAGTTTTTTGAGGAATCTGCACACAATTTCCTCAGGGGTTGCACCAGTCTATGGCCTCACCAACAGTAGAAAAGTCCACAGCCCTGCCAGCATTTGTTATTGGTTGATTTCCTGATAGCAGCCATTCTTTCTGGGGTGAGGTGGAATCTCAGAGTTGTTTTCATTTGCATCTCTCAGATGACCAGTGATGCTGAACATTTTCTCATATATTTATTTGCTGTTTCTAATTCTTTATCTAAGAAGTGTCTTTTTATTTCAGATACTCATTTTTGCAATGGATCTTTAGATTTGAGGGGTCTTGTTTTTGTTTTTGTTTTGCTTTGTTTTTTGTTTTTCTTAGTTCCTTACACATTCTAGATAATAGTCCTTTATATAAATAGCTGGTAAAAACTTATTCCCAGTCTGTGGGTTGGCTTTTCACTCTCTTGGTGGTTTGCCGTGCAAATGCTTTTTAATGAGATTCCAGTTGTTGGTTCTTTGTAATATTTCCTGTCATTCAGGGTTTTTTTTATTAAAGTCTCTGCCTACACCAATATCTTCAAGACTTCTATCTATACTATCTTTCAGCAAATTTAGTGTTTCTGTTTTAATATTTAAATCTCCAATCCACTTCAATTTTAGTTTAGTGCATGGTGAAAGATGTGTTCCAAGTTTTAATCTTCAGCATGTGGAAACCTAGTTTATCCAGCACCTTTTACTAAAAAGGCTATTTTTCTTCCAAGTGACGGTGTTCGGCTCCTTTGTCAAAGATATAGTGGCTGAGTATGTTTAGAGTTGTTTCTACATCTTCTAATCTGTTTCACTGATCTTTGGATCTGGTTTGTTTTGCTTTGTTTTGTTTTGCCAGTATCATCCTGGTTTTAATCACACTAGCTCTGTAGTATATTTCAAGTCAGGGATTATGATGTTTCCTGCCTTGCCTTTGTTGCCCAGAATTGCTTTTGCTAGTCTAGGTCTCTTCTGATTCCAAATTAATTTTAGGATTGTTTTCTCTAGTTCTGTGAGATATGCTATTGGTATTTTTATCGGGATTGCATTAAATCTGCATAGAATTTTGGAAGTATGGCCATTTTCACTATATTGGTTCTTCCTACCCAAGAACAAGCGA